ATGGTCCCATATCCATATCAGGATCCCATTGATCCCAGGATCCCATGGCCCCCAGGTGCATTGTGGCAACCAATTCCTACAGACAGATTGCAAGGTGCGCCATGGCACACTGAGGTTGGTTGATGTTTTCTTTTGGGGGGGGGAGGCTGTAAGAGTTTTACTACACTCTACAAATATGTATATATATATATATTATTATCTATTGGAACGTATCATAATCATCCGGGAATCCACAGTACATGCTGCCATGGTCCAAGGGTGGCAGGGTGTGCTGCAGACCTTTGATCCTCGGAATTCTGCATAGTTCCCTCTCAGTTGGACCGTTTTGGAAGTAGCTGTCTGCAAACATGCGATTGCAGTAACACAATATACATATGATAATATGTATATATAAAATACAGTTATATGTGTATATATATATATGTATGTTCATGTATATGCCGGTATATGCATATGTATATGGACATATGTATGTGTATGAAAGCATTGGGTTCCAACGCGTTCTAACCATCCATCCCAATTTTTGAAAACTGTCAGGAATACTACGGCTGTGCTTACGGCAACGAAGCCTACACATGGTGCGAGGTCGATCCGGGCTCATGCCCTGAAGAAGCACGGGATCCTCTCGGTTGCTCGGGCCGCACCAGGGAGAACCAGGGGAAATCACCCACATATAATATGCTGTAATGATGTGTATATATATATATATACATTATGAATATAATTTGTGTTGTATACTTGAGTTCAAACTTGGGTTTACTATGGTTCCATGAAGTTCATACTTGTGTTTGTCCACAAGTGTGGGATGGTTCCGTTTACTTCCAGCTGTAGCCTTTTGGAAGGTACGCAATCCTAGTAAGACAGATTCCATACCACGCTACATCCCCAAATTGCCATCCAAATATGCAAAATTAGCCTGTTTCAATTATTTTTGGACAATCCCGTGAGCACAAAGTCTGGAAAAGATGTTTGGAGACATGCTGACAAGATCTGACAAGACACCGGGCAGTTCACCTTTTCCAAATATGAACCAAAGATGACACTTTGCCATTTTTTCATCGAAGGGTCCAGCCTTTTTCTGCATCAAATCGCTGAGGCATTCGACCTGCGTGGGATTATTGCGTCAATGACAACTTTGACATCGATTGGCATCCAAAACACGTTGCAGACAAAGGCGCCGGGGCGATTTGATGAATGGATTTGTCTGGAGTGCCCAGATTTGTAGGATTAGGATCTGTTGGATAACAAGTTAATAATTAATAATGGTTACTAATATCGTTGACGGTTAATGAAAGTCTGTTTCTTGAAAATTGGAGGATGATGTAAGTTGTCTAAGTCAATAGATGTAGTGCCAGCTACATACTGCATTGATGACATCCCCTTGGAATGCACGACGTCACCGCACCAGTCGCGTCGGAGCCAGGTGTCCTGTCCGAACTGACAGGTTTGTACATAGCTGCTGCATTCATCCTCGCTGCGGCCGCCCCGGCGAGCATTACCCATTTTGTGTCTCCAGCCCAACAACATAGCAAGTGGAAATCCCCCTTTTAAAGATTAACATAAGCCAGCTATCAATCTCCATTTATAGGAGATTTTTCATGTAATTATTATTTGCGCCATGAATTCCATGTTGATATCTCGGTGACGTTCTGTGCTAGTTCTTCCATTGTAATGTTGGAAACGTTACAGGAGACCTCCTGTTTGTTTGATTAAAAAAACACGGGTCTTCCATAGTTTTCCTGTATACGGGGGTTTCCTGGAATGGGGATGAATGGGGTACATATCCCAAAATGGATAGTTTTAATAGTTTTATAATGGAAAATCCATGAAAATGCATGATTTGGGAGAAAACCGTAGAAACCCATATTTTAGGAAACCTCCATATTGTGTTACCAATAAGAACATCTGAATGACTACCGTTCCCAAGGATGCATGGTATTTGAAGACCTGCCCTAGATGGTTCCCCCCCTTCAACAACCTATAGGATCTCGGTAGATGGTAATCAACAATATACCAAACCGGCCCATCGATCTTTCCTGAAAGGGACAATATCACGATTTCCCAAGTCCTGGGGGTATACCCCCAGTCATCATCTATTTATAGATTGGGCTTTCCATTATTATCCATTCAGCTATGGGAGTACCCTCTTTTACAGGATGGTGCCCCCCAGTTATAAGTTGATTCATAAACCCCATTAACATCCATTAACTACAGTTATCTATAGTTATATCTACCATAAACCATAGTTCATTCAGCCATTTGTTTTAGGCAACGGAACTTCACGCGACAACTCGACAACGTTTCCCCATCCTGTAAGAACTCAAGATTTTTTTCCCAACGCGCCAGGTTTTCACATTTTTCCTCTTTCGCTACTCTGCGATTGTCTTTGGCTCAGCTGATTCCACACTAAATCACGACACTGTAGACTGCTTGGTGGTTTCAAATTTATGTGTGTAGAGAATATATGAAACCACCAAGCAGTCTACAGTGTCATGATTATATGAAACCACCAAGCAGTCTACAGTGTCATGATTTAGGTTTCTACTGCTAAAGAGCTGTCTTTTCAAATTTAGATCATATATGATGATCAATCTAAAGATTCTAAAGGTCCTTGTAAAGAGTTTCAATTGTGAAGACTGTTCATGCTTTGTTGGGAACCCTCGTGAAGCCCAAACAGTGTGTCCACGCTGACGGGTTCTTACGGTAAGTGTAAAGGCCGGTGCTTGATCAGGGTGCTCCAGCTGGGCGCCGCATTTTTCCTGTAAATTTCCATATAAAGTGGCTCTTGTCGTGAAATGTTGACATGCGTTTCGACTGCGCAGGCTCGCACAAAGTCTGCGCCCCAGTTCTGGCATTTGGCCTGCAAATTTCCGTATACAGTGGCTCTTGTGACATGTTGAAATGCATTTCGACTGCGCAGGCTCGCACAAAGTGTGGTCCTATAAGTTTTGGGGCGCGGCATTTTTCCTGTAAATTTCCGTATACAGTGGCTCTTGTGACATGCTGCAGTGCATTTCGACGGCGCATGCTCGCACAAAGTGTGGTCCCATAGTTTTTGGGGCGCGGCATTTTTCCTGTAATTTTTTGTAAAATGTTGAAGTGCATTTCGACTGCGCAGGCTCGCACAAAGTGTGGTCCTATAGGTTTTGGGGTGCGGCATTTTTCCTACATTCTTTTGTATAAAGTGCCGCTTCTGAAATGTTGAAGTCCATGTCGATTGCACAGGCTCGTACGAAGTGTGGTCCTGGGTTCTGGGCTTGGGCATTTTTCCTGTAAATTTCCGTACAAAATGGCTCTTGTGAAATGTTGACGTGCATTTCGACTGCGAGGCCCGCACAAAACGTATCTGCATCTGCATCTGCATCCTCCGTACCATCATCTTCCTCCTCCTCGACATCAGTATTCTCAAAATAATCCTCTTCCTCCCCCTTGATATCATCATCCTCAACATTTTCATCCTCCACATCATCCTCAACGTCATCACCCTACACCTCATCATCCTCAACGTCATCATCCTCAACGTCATCATCCTCAACATCATCATCCTCCACATCATCATCCTCCACTTCATCTTTCGCAACATCACCCTCCTCCACCTCATCTTCCGCAATATTATCATCCTCGACATCATCGTTTGCATCATTTTCATCCTCATCTTCATCATCATCATCATCACCACCACCACCAGCATCATCATCATCATCATCATCACCCACATTATCGTACACTATCCTCCCACTCCCCCCCACACTGTTTGTTGTCTCTTTCCGGTTTTTTTTTTCGAGTTGGCAAAAGTAACATGTGTATTCGCGACAGTTTCGCGAAAGTTGGATATTATGAATCAGGTTGTATACATCTACAACCTGGACAGGGCTACCACCCCCTGCTGACCGGGCTCCGGCAGGAGCACAGTGCCGGAGAATTTCGGTTTGGTTCTGGTTCAGTTCACTGTGTGGCTGTACTCCAGACATTTCCCTTTCCCTTTATAGGTAGCAATTTGAAAGGTGAGGTACAATATAGTTTACATATATATGTATGTATGTACGTATGTATATATTATATATATATATATTGTTTTAAAAAAATCTCATCATGTACAGAATAATCATGGTTATTACTAGTGTGAGTATCATCATTAATATGGATCACATATATATATAATTATATCTAATTTGATTAATATGGGATATGTCTAAATGACTGTACATCAATATACACGAGCTTCTGTATATATGTACATATACATATTATATATATGTATACCATCCCATGCCATTGGACTCCGGAAACAGTAGGTTTTTCAAATTCTCTATCAATGGATTGATGACAATCCCCCAATACGGGTATGTGGTCCAATTTTTGACCCAGGCACATGAGCAGTGTTCAAAACCCCCGTTGGTTGATGATTGTAAGGGATTACATGGGATTACACTACTCGTATATATTGGGGATGATAAAAATCCAATAGTAGGAATCCCTATTAACCGACCATGTAATGGAATGACAGGGATTTTGAACACCTACATGTATCGTCCAAGATTCTTCCTCTCCACATCCCTTGGGGCCCCAAGGGCCATGTCTCAAAAACCCAGGCTCTGTCAATGCTTTTCGAATTGCTGGTCCAGTACTTCCTGATTGAGGCACGTTGTGTGACGTGCACTTCACAGTGGCTACGGAAAACTGGGTAAACGATTCATTAAACCCAATGTTGATTGGTTTTTGCAATAATATGGGATTATATCAAACCACAATAAACATGAATTAGAAAATAATTATTGAATACTTTTGGAATGATTGGGCATTTCCAAATGAGGTAAACAAAAAATTGAGTCTTGCCACCTTTCGAGATGATGAACATGGGAGAAATTGTTCGGAGATTGTGTGGAATTGGGTGAACTACATTACCAGAAATGCTCTGAATGTATGTCTATAGATGCTATATTTGTCAGATGTTATAAACATTGCAACATGCGAATTTTACAACATGCGAATTTTGCAGAACACTTACAAACACCCCAATTTGCCTGAGGCACTCAAAACAATGTAAATAGTGGGTCATTCTCGCATTTGTGAAAGCTCAGGCGGGGGACCTGTGCGTCATTGCACAAGTGATCTTGAACCCGCAACACCCTAAAGCCCTAAAAACTTAAACCTGCAACCCCAAGGCTGAAACCCTGAAAACCGTGGAAAACGAATTAACACCCCAAAACAACGCCCAAACAAAAACCAATTCTCAAAACCTAAAACATTGGGAACCTGAAAGTGATGTGGGGCGATTTGGATCAGCGGTTTGACAAACACATACGGCCTATTTTTTGGGTGAAGTAATCCAGTAAACCCAATCATAATCCATACCATATTACTGTGGATGGAAGAAATCCTGCGCCAGTTGATAGGTGGTTTATCCCATTATTTCTAGGGTTTCAATCATCCAAGGTGGTGCAGGATTTCTTCCATCCACCGTATGTCTAGTTTTATGAATTTATGGCAGGACTGCGAGGTCGTCCGGACTGCACTGGATCTTATGTTAGCCTGGTCGTTTTCGCTGTATATTTGCAGTCTCGCGTAAAACATGTCCCTTGTGGTGTGCTAAGCGCACAGGATGTCCCGGATTTGTAAGTTCAGATATGTTCAGATGGAAAGCCTGACGACCCTTCGCGAGGGAAAATGTTTTCTTTCTACGGTATGGTTCTAATATCATAACCCCGAGTATAGTTTCACTGGAGTATGAACGATTCTCTTGTTTTCGTCCTGTGGTAGGTTTTAACAGGAGATTGCATGAGATTGCTAGAATTTCAACATCGTTTGATTGATCACAAGATTTTGGGTTTAAAAACAACCACACTCTTACAGAAGTGCGTTTATCACATGCGTCCTTCAATCAGTGCACCTTTTCAAGGTAGAAGGCTGAAGGTTTCATAGGTTTCGTCAAGAAGGCCCCCCCCAGTGGCCCCACAGTTGAAAGTTTTGATTTGTAAATCCTTCCAAGTAGCTACCACAAATCTCAGTTTGCCTAGTGATTCGTTAACCTAGCTATCTATTTGACCCTTCTTGCAATTCATCATGCGATGGCGATGAGCCAACTGGTTCTACGCTGCGGCCCTACATGGTCGACAACACCAGTATAAAGGGTAATTATCAACCCTAATTCTACAGGTAATTGTTATTATCTCCGCATATCTCCGCATGAAATCATTGGTTGTGCATGTAGACATTTCACGCAGTAAACATGAATATTGTGAGAATCTTGAATCCCATGATGTCTTGTGGCTAGTTTATCAGTTTATCATCATGGGCATTCAACCAACCTCCATGGTTAGTGGTTGATGGTCAAGATTCGCCCTACGCATAAGTGTTTTTTTGCAATTGGGGGTGACCTGACTGAAGGGTGTTAATCCTGATGATATTAACCATTGGATACCATTGGCATATAGCTATCAACCATTATCAAGCATCATTTGACCAGGATGACCATTCTCAACCAGTATCAATCACGATCAACCATTTTTAACCAGTTCAACCATTGTCAACCATTGTCAGGCATTATTTAC